AAGAGGACCAGAGAGTCAAGGAACAGGGTCTGAGGTCTCTAAGCAGAAGTGGCCAGATCCCCACAGGGTTAGAAAGGGACCTCCCTTCTGTTTGCTCAGCAAGCAATCCAAACCTCCACTGAGGAGCCCCTCTGCTGCTCCAGAACCCCAAAAGGGAGATTCAGAAGATCCTGGAGTTTGTGGGGCACTCTCTGCCAGAGGAGACCGTGGATCACATCGTCCAGCACACGTCTTTCAAGGAGATGAAGAAGAACCCAATGACCAACTACAGCACCATAGCCACCAAAGTCATGGACCACAGCATCTCTGCCTTCATGAGGAAAGGTGAGAGCTGCCCCAGGGAGCGGGCACGGGCATCTGGGGAGAGAGTGGGGGAGCAGCAGCTAGAGCCGCCGTTCAGCCACTCAGGGCCTCCTCTGCGACGGGGACCTCTCTCCTTTCGTCTCTCCCAGGCATCACTGGGGACTGGAAATCCACCTTCACCGTGGCCCAGAATGAGCGCTTTGAAGCCGACTATGCTGCGAAGATGGCAGGCTGCCACCTCCACTTCCGCTGGGAGCTGAGTGGTGCTTATCAGGGTGAGCGTGAAACAGGCCTCAACAATAAAATCTGATGCGTGTTAAACAGCCTCTGCTGGAAGCAAAGGACAAACCTGAGCCAAGAGGGTACAAGCCCACTGGGACCAAATGAGGCCACCTTCCCTGGTGGCCTCCAGCTCGCCCTAGTGGGGAGGGAAGGAAGGGTCTGGAAAAGTAAAACCCAGGAGACATGGACAAGGGAGGAGGAATATTTATTTGATGACAGAATCTTGTGTTGCATCCCCCTTCGAGGGTGTCAGGAGATTGCGAGTCCGCTAGGCTGCTTCACTTTTTCTTGGGCTCCTTACAAGCCACCACGTACCGCTGGGCCACATTGAGGGGAGGGGAGTAACCATCTGCATAGGAAGTGTCTTCAAACAGGACCGAATAGTCATCCTGGGGCTGCAGTAGGGGGCAGACGGGAGTGACTGGTCAGAGACCTCCAGGCGAGGCCCCCCCAAACCTAGATAGACAGGAACCTCTGGCTCGTGGGCCCCCAGCCTCTCCTGTCCTCAGAGTCACTCAGGAAGTCTAGATGTTTGAACCTAGTCCCTGTTACTACAGAGCTGTTTCCTCAACAACAAAGGGCCAAGGGTAAGGGATGAAGAGCAGGGAGAAGGGAGACTTGCCACCTACGTGGATGGGCCATAACTGGAGAGTCTGGTACCAGGGAGCCCGTGTTAAAGGGATCAAGGACAGCCTAGAGGGGGACTTCCCTGGTGGCAGAGTGGTTAGGAATCCGCCTGCCGGTGCAGGGGACACGGGTTCGATCCCTGGTTCTGGAAGACCCCACATGCCTCGGAGCAAGCAAGCCCGTGTGCCTAGAGCTCATGCTCCGCAACAAGGGAAGCCACCGCAATGAGAAGCCCACACACTGCAACACAGAGTAGCCCCCGCTCGCTGCAACTAGAGAAAGCCTGCACGAAGCAACGAAGACTCAATGCAGCAAAAAAGAAAAAAAAAAGACAGACAGCCCAGAGGGCAGCAGGCAGGTATCCTGGAGGAAGAGGGGAGAACAGCCTTTAAACTCCCATCAGGTGATGGGTGACCAGGGCGTCAGCTATGTCAGGAGCTCGAGAGAAAGCAGCTCAGGCAAGGAAAGGGCAGTGGTGCAGGAGTCAAGGGTTCCAAAACAGGCCCTGGGGCATTGAACTTCCCATCTCAGTGCAAAAGCGAGGTTAGACTAGAGTATGCTTCGGGTCCATTCCGCTCAGGGCTTGCTAAGGCTCTGAAGCTTGGAGAGTGGAGGGTTGGCTGGTGCTGCCCTAGAGGGCAGGGCTGTAGGGCAGACTAAGCAGAAGACAAAGGCCAACTTGCAGGACCCTCCTAGCTCGGAGAGGCTGTAAGATGAGGAAAAGGGGACGGAAAGTGGGAAGATGTTCCATGACCCAGCTGGTCCTTGTAGCCGGGCCAGTGTCTCTCCCATGAAGGCTGGCTTACCCGTTGCGGGGGCGTGTGGATCAGGGCACGGTAGAAGCAGGTGGTCTGGGGATACAGGGCCAGCACAAGCTGCTCCTTCTGGAATAAGGCTTCGGGGTCCGTCTCCGGGTTGGCCTTCCACTGCGGCAGTGGGATGATCCGCCGGCGGCTCAGGGTGTGTCTCCTGGTGGGGGCGAGGGGGAGCTAAGGTCAACCCATGGCCAGGTGGGGGCCGCATCCCAGCAGCTTAGCTGCCCCCAGGCTTCCACGGCCCCCCACGAGCACACTCACTCTTTGCCTTCTTCGTCAATGTCATCTACCTCATACCTGTGGGTAAACAAAAGGAAAGCGGTGGATGCAGGGAGGTGCACAGTCCAAGTCAGGGAGCCCCGAGGAAGCGGGGGAGGAGGGCAGGGAAGGGAAGCAGCCCAGGAGCCCACTTCACACACCATCCCCACCGGCACCCAGGGGAAGCCGCTTTCCTCCCATCTTGCAGGCTTTCCTCCCATCTTGCAGCCGGGGTGAGAGTCGCAGCCCAAGTGGGTGTGGTGACGGGAGGTGCCCACAGGGCTGGGCGTCCACTCACTTGTTGGTGGCATGGCTGTAACTGACCACTTCGGCCAGGATCCACTGCTCATCCCCATCCACAGCCTTCACCCGGGCAGCCACCTTGTCTCCAGGTTTGGCCACATAGTCCCCAGAAGCTGGGATGGCCCCACAGAGGGGCGGGGGCCTGAGGGTGGAATAAAATGTCACTTCCAATCCCTTCCCTGCCAGAGCCCCCAGCCCTGGGCCCGCCCTCACTTGTCACCAGGCTTCCCGATCCACAGGGGCAGGGTCATGGCTGACTGCTGCAGCAGGGTCATGAGCACCCCCCTGCGCATGGTCTTCCGAGGGGGCTCCGAGTCATTGTACAGGCCCGCGATCTTGGCCGCTGTGGGAAAGAAGTGAGCCCTTGAGACACCAGGGACAGGGTTCCCGCCCCCAGGCCCACCCTAGCCTGCCTGCGTTGGGCTGTCAGAGCTCAGCCTGCAGCCCCACCGCCCAAGTTAGCACCAAGGGCCCAGGTGCCATCCTGCCCCTTCCACCAGATGCCCACAGTCAGACTGCCCAGATGGTGAGACACCAGGAGGGTGGATACCCTAGGGAGAGGGAACTAGAAAGGGCAAAAGCTGGGATTCTGGGGTGCTGGTCACGTTCTATTTCTTGATCTGGGTGCTGGTTACATCCGTTTTGTTCAGTTAGTGAAAGTTTCGGTGAGCTGTATGTCCACTTACGTGTACTTTTCTATGAATATATGTTGTAATTCAACAAAAAGTTTAAAAAACAAACTCTCAAATGTGGACAGACCCCTGACCTCCTCTGGCATGGTTCAACACACCCAGCCACTTCATACAAACCCAGCTGGCAGTGTGACAGCATTTTTGATGGGTGAGGAGTTGCACACGGGGGGTTCACTGGGGCAAGAGAGGTGGGAAAGCCACAGCAGCCTGAGGGATCTGGAAGCCAGTGCCCCATGTAGGTAAACCCCATGTGGAAGGCTGGCTTCAAGACACCCAGGGTGCAGCTCTGGTTCTCCCCACAGCAAGAAATGGGAGTGGGTGGCAGTAGGAAGGAGGGAGGTGACTGACCCAGGCAGTAGAGGGAGCAGGGGAATCAGCGTGGTCTGCAGGGAGCTCTGGGGATGATCCCCATTCCCTTCCCAACCCCAGGCTGCCCAGGCGCTTCTCTGTCAGAAGCCCCAGGAACAATCCCACCAGACTGAGGTCACAGGCTCCCCTACAGGGAGACCTGACTGCTGCTCTCAGGAACCCTCACTCCGCCTGGTCCAGGA